TATTATTAGGGAGTCCAACTCTTATATAAATATTAGCCTATCCAATAAGTACATGTATTTTCTAAATGTATACCAAGTTTCAAGTCAATCGAATGCATAGTTCAGTAGTTATAACGGAACATCCGTAAAACCACTGTAGATTTATATATTGGTATAGATATATAGTTGTATATTATTGTATACATCTAAGTCGCTGTTTGGTGCCTAATAAAATAAATTTACCGTTGGCAGACGAATTATAGTAATATTACCAAAATACTATTCTTATTTCGTTTGTACATTGCAAGGCGAAATAACGAAGATTTCGACTTAGTCATACCCGCAACCTACGTTAATCAATTAAACATTCGGATAGTTAAAATAGAATTGAATTATTCAGAGAAATTAATATTTTAAATAGTTCTACGAGATCGAGAAATTTACCTAATCTATATATTATATTGAAATACTTTCGACAAGTTTGCTTTGGGAAGCTTATTAGTGAGAGTAGCAGATTGTCAGCAAATCGGAGTAGACGGTGTGACGCCGTGAGGAAGGAGGTGTTAGACCCTGAAAATGCATCGTTACGACCACAGATCCTTTGAAAATAACGAAAGTACTAAAAAAGAAAGATTTCGTTACTGCCTTTAAAGAATAAAATGCCCAAAACAAATTTTAAGTGAATAGCTAATAGTTATAATATTTATCATAATGCTTTTTTTCAGTGATGAGTTTCTTTCTATACATTACGTAAATTAAATCATCTTGATTTAATGCTATAACGCTTCCACACTGTATAACGCTGTTTTTTTACCTATTACATATTTTCCAAGTTATTTTCGTAGGAAGAATTTCTGGAGCGCCATAATAATATTTACTATATTTGGCGATGAAGGAACAAAATACGTTACAATTAAATATTGTTCTATTGCATTTATCATCAATCATATTGATATATTTCAACGCTTATAATACTTTAAACATAACATAGTATATCTATTAATGCTAATAAATTACTATATCCTGTAGGACAAGAAGCATGCAGTTAGTGTGCATTGAAATGTCGTGGGACGCGGCCAATTGGCGCGGAAATGCGTGAATTGACGTTCATGGGCACAATAATTGACAGATTGCGCGAATATACATTTTATTAAATATTTATTGTTAAGTGCATTCAATATTATATGAGAAAACACTACAATTTTAGTAGAACGTCTGGTATCAGCCGCGACGTCACGCTTTTGTTTACTTTGTGAATGTCGAGGTCATAAAGTTTGTAAAAGATCCAATCTAAATAAAAACGTTTAAAAATATGTTACTTCGCACACTTCAAAAACAATGTTATTTTATTCTATGAAGTTTCGTGAGTATAAATCGAAAGTTTTGTTGAATCTAATAGTAGGCCAGTGTTCTCGTTTTGAACGGCCGCGGAATTTTAGCGGTTATTACGATGCATTAAAATGCAATTTAGTGAATGCGCTAATTGCCGCTTGCCTGCGGTGCGACGCGAANGTTTAAAAATATGTTACTTCGCACACTTCAAAAACAATGTTATTTTATTCTATGAAGTTTCGTGAGTATAAATCGAAAGTTTTGTTGAATCTAATAGTAGGCCAGTGTTCTCGTTTTGAACGGCCGCGGAATTTTAGCGGTTATTACGATGCATTAAAATGCAATTTAGTGAATGCGCTAATTGCCGCTTGCCTGCGGTGCGACGCGAAGTGTCCCGAAATGTGGCCGGACCCGTCGCAGTCCTCCACCGGACACTGGATCAGGTCCCTCGAATCTCGCATCCGGCTACTCAGTTTCCCATAAAACTCGTCGAACTCGCGATGATGACTGACGCAAATAATAAATAAACTCAATTTAAGAAGCGAAAACAAAAGAAGAAAAAAAAACTTATGCAAACTTTAGGAACGAAATTTTAAAAATAAATATGGCGCCAATCTGATTTGACCTCAAATGTCCATTTTAGTTGACGAAAAATGTCATTAACCAAACAGGTAGGTATGTATATTAATATTATTAGTTACGGTCACGGTAAATATTCACATTGTTCACGCAAATCGAGCTTGTCGATACTTTAACAATATATTATTATTTATATTATCGCTCTTGTTTGTGTTCTTTCTAACGAACACAAGTCGTGAAAGTTTTTTTGTTTTTTTAAAGAACGTAAAACTTTTCTTACCTGTTTCGATGCATATCTTTGTCCTTGTAAAATGTTGAGCGTTTGAAAGTGACACGAATATTTTAATATTTGTATCTTATCGTTCATATGTGTTTATCTGACATGGTTGCGCGCTGTTTGGCTCGGTGAGCAAACGCGAACGCCGCGCTGCCGGTATATTTAGACTGATCCACCAACTGTGACTTGCTACGTTCCAAAACTCACGGCGATGTATTTCTAACCTAAAATAGCCGCGTCTGTTTATCTATCTTACAAAAAAAAGCACCCACGTGCTTCGTGTTCTTGTAAACAGTAAAGTGTAATAGTTTTAAACACAGAAAGTGTAATTTAATTACTTCAAGCGTTAATGTTTTTAAATAAAATGCGTTCATGGTGAAAAATATATTCTTATTTGTAATCATACAAAAACCAATGAACTTTTTCCGAATATGTCTTATCACATTTTGTCAAGTTTTAAGTAATCGATTATTATAATGATCGCCTGAAATTATTTATGACGCGTAATGCCGACCGACATTCATTTTGAGAGTTGTTAAGAGCGTTATATCATAATATATGTATCTCTGTCTATAGCGAGAGAGCGAAAGAGACAACAAAAACTTTGCCGAGAATCGCCGATCGGGCGTAATAGTTTGTAGTACCGTTTTCAATAACAATATTTTAACTGGGCGAAGTATGCACATCGGTCTAGAATGTTTAAAAATAATTTGTAATGAACACAACGATGATATGATGGATCAGTAGCGTATTTAAAGAATGAAAAACAAATATAGGTATATATCTTATAAAGATGTGTAATATTTGCCAAATAAAATTCTATTCTATACACGTATTATTATTTCAATTAAACGTCAATTTTGTCCGTATCCTCGGTAATATTTTTTATTATATCTCTCAATTTATTATAAATTTATATCTATATTTATAAAAATAAATTGTTGTTCGTTAGTCTCGCTAAAACTCGAGAACGGCTGGACCGATTTGGCTAATTTTGGTCTTGAATTATTTGTAGAAGTCAGAGAAGGTTTAAAAGGTAGATAAATATGAAAATGCTCGGAATTAAATAAAAATAACAATTTTGTTTTTCCTTTGATGTGTCCCCCGTCGGACGGGTTCCTTTTGTTTGTTTAAAGTTTATTTTATACAAAAGTTTAGGTCTTTTATTTATCGATTGAGGCACTACGAAGTCTGCCGGGTCAGCTAGTTATTAATAAAAAGGTACATCTTCTTCAGAGTTGATTCAGTTTCACATATCTGATTTCATTCCATTATTTGATTAGATTTAAAGTCTCATGATGAAGATCTTTAAGCTTGCCTTTGATTCAAGAAATTGGTAGTACCGAGTTAATTATTACCAATAATTTAATAATACGAATTACGAAATAGATAAACGGGGCAACAAAATTTTAAATAGCGTTAATGGCCAGACGAACTCACGCCCTATTAAATGTTACGCAGTTGCTGAAGTCCTTAAATACCACAGCGTGAGACATCAGGTCTCAGTTTCAGTTTGATTGCAACGATAGCTATTCTGTTCTTCGGATGGGTGTGCATAATTGGAACGTGATAGAAATATCGGCCGTGATGCCAACACGTGCAGACTCATAAGATGCCTTAATATTAGCGCTTTCAGAGGGAGCAGTAGAAGTAGTTAGATAGGAAAGGTGAGCATGATATTCACTACTAATGATATTCGTAGCTTATAAATACCGACCGACATGATCGAGCTTTGGTAGTCTTCATGTTATGAGAAATATCCGTTGATCCAAACGTGCTCGTTTGAACAAAATATGCAGTTAAATTGTCATTGTTTTCCCTACCTAATCGCAAATTGCTTCGAAGGGATATTCCAGCTACAGACGATTTGGTAGGTAAGCTACCTAAGCTTAATCAAACTTGCTAACACTACTCTGAGCAATATAAGTGTTTCGCTAAATCTACCACCGGATCGAAATTGCGACCTGATTCCGATTCCGAATTCCAGTGATTATAACCTGATAAGGAGCAAAAAATATAACTGTGTCTGTTTCTTGTGATCTATGCGTTTAAATTGTAACTTTCCATACTTCTTTTTGCAGTACTGCAGCTGTAACTATCACAGAATAAATACACTTCTGTGCGAACGAACCAATTGTGTGAACGAAAATTTCAAGATAACTTAGCATATATACAATTTTAGAGCAACGACATCAGGACCATGGATATACAGAGGAAAAATACCCACTCGGTGAAAGATCTTACCTTTGTGGCTTTCTCCATAGCGTGATCTCATACCATATATTTTAGTAAAATATATAAAAGCATTTGAGACTGCCCTTTAATCAATTTAAAAATCATATGAGGTTTATATCGTCTTCAAAGGCAGATAATCTCATAATCCACCTGATTTTATGTGGCTATTGTACTATTATTAATCGAAGATTATCACTGACAGAAACTGGCAACGCCAGGGCCACAGCTACGCTACTGGACTTTTTGGCGGGAGCGCGAGGAGTGAAGTTGTGTGATTTGTTTTATTTTGTCTATTTAGTGTTTCTTCAGATTTAAATTTGTAATAAAGGTGGTTTATTAACTGTTTAATATCTGTGAAAGTGCACAAATGTGGGAAAATGAAACAAAGCCTCTGAACGTAACTTCTCGGGATCCACCAAAAAGTCAACTGAAAAAATCTCAGTAAATGACCACCATTTTACTAAGATTATATTTCATCCCATATCATCTCATTTCATTTAATTTCATCCCAGTTGATTAATGTCTCAAATTAATAATCTTCATTTCATTTTATTTCATTTCACTACTTCCGCTATCTATCTCGGAATAGTATATTCACCTTGTATCCTTTGGCTTGTCGTGCGGCGCGTGTGGCGGCGGCATGTAGCAGGGCGGAGAATATGGCGGTGCGTGAGGTGGGTACGCCGGCGGAGGCGGATAGGCGCCGCACTGGTACTGGTATCCGCCGTAGCCCGCCGCTGCCGCAGCCGCCGCGTAATCCGGCTGACCTAGCCCGTATCCCGCCACTGGGTGCGGACTGACACCACCGTAACCTGTTTAATAGATATTAATGTTATATTAATAATATTGTTTTGATAGAATTAGAAATCTATGTCATATAAATTGAATTATTAGTATAAGCAAATAGCTCTTCGTATCTGCTTTTACAAAGATCTGAGGAATCTATTTGATAATTATACACGTTAAATATATCCTCGATAAAATACTGACACATAAAAAATCTCTTTTTGAAATAAGAACTAGACAACAAGTTGGGCTTGAGATAGGTAACGATTTTTTTGGGCTTATGTGCACCCAATGACAGAAGCATGAGGTTTAAATGCAACTACCATCTATGTCAGTAATATGAAAACATTGCTTCTGAAGACCACCGTAACATTCAGAGTTGCAATTTTGTTACTAACAGGAACAATATCTTTTAAACTACGATTAATTTAGTCTTAAATACCCTCTTTTATAATTAATAAAAAAAAACAATTGAGATACGTTGTTAAATTGAAAATTGTTTCCGAATAAATTCCCTTGTATTATTTGCTGCGTTAGTTTTAATACATGCTTTTAAATTCAAAAAGTTCTGATTCTATTCAAACGCTCATCGTTACTTTAAATAAAGGAGAAAGCTACTACTTAAAAATCTAGGTTAAACGAAATGTTTTTTCTACAGCTAGATGTATAAGCTCACGCGGTCCACTTAGTGTTTCTACTTAATTCCATAGATTTCACAATATAAATACAGCTGTCCTCGATGAAGGAACAACATTGTGTAACAAAAATACAGTAGCACCATAATTTTAGTCCATTTCTTTTATTATTATTATTATCTTTAGCCTACTTTTATAAAACGGTCGCTCCCGGATTACAAGCTAAGTATGTATATTAGTTAATATAATTCTGTCTTGTCATTTCGTTGTGTATATGAACAGGATGTTGCCCAGAATTTGTAGGTACGTTGTACGGCACACAGCGGGGAGTGATTATCGCGGTCGGCTTTTAATTTGCACGACGTGTTTTACGTTACCGCTGTGTGAACGAACCTAATGTTTTGGAATGAAAATATGTTTGTAATTTTTTTTATTACCAATTACAATTATTTATTTAATTTTTATTGTGAATTCGAAAGCAACTCATAAAAAAACATACGGTAAATAAAATGAGAGTTCTTATCGATTAAAAAGCGACAGCCAGACAGACAGTCGGTATTCGATATGATCCAATTTTTTTAAAGATTTTATGGCCTGGTAACGAGACCTTTAAGTTCACTCTTATATTTTTTCTTACTTTCTGTTTTAATATTATTATGAAAACTGATATAAAGCGAAATGAGATGAAGGTGATTAATTTAAGACTTTAATCAATTGGGATGAAATTAAATGAGCGAAATGAGATGAATGAAATATAGTCTCAGTAAAATGATGGTTATTTACTGAGATTTTTTCAGTGGACTCCTTCGACTCTCGCGTTCCCGCCAAAAAGTCCACTTATTATGAACTAATTTAGTAATTAAGTTACTTAATGATTAAACTATTAAATAAGTCATTATTATCAAAATTATATTTACGGCGCTGAAATTGAATTTCAAATATTGATTTCTATCATGTCCAAGGAATGGTGCTTCCATTTATTTTGGAATTGCCACTTCGAATGCTGTTAAATCTGTAAATTATAATTAAAATTGAATTTTACCTGCGGTGTCTCGGTGGTAGGCTTCCAGGTACGGATGGCTACCGCCGCTGTCCGGGGTAGATTCTCGACTATAGGAAACGGCGCCGGGGAAGCCTCGACTGAAATCAATAAATACAGTTACGAAAATCATAGTATAGGAGACAAAAAGCTACTTTTTTTAATGAAGCTATACAAAATTAAAAATAAATTTACGCTTTAATCTCGGATTTTTTATTGTTATTTCTGACTCTGATTTCGAATACTTTTCAGTTTTCGTGGTCACGAATGACTGAAGCCGACTAACGTGAGATTAAACCGTAAAAACAATTTTAATTATGTTTAAGACTCGAGAAAATTCGATGAAAATACTATATCTATACAACGTAGGTAAATTTGTTCGTCTTCCTGTTGTGCCTTGTTTTGAAAACAACACAAATACTATTATATAAAATGAACAGATTGTTAGTTTCACCATCAATTTTGAATTGCTTTTCAAGAACGATAAAGTACAACATGGTAAAATGTTTTAAATGTAATTTTCAGGTCGCGTAAGGTAGGCAAGCCTCACCTATGTGGTAAACGGGACACGCTAAGGTCGAGGGTCTGTCCCTGTGGACTGGGCACCTGAGGGCTGGCCGTTAGCTGGGGCGAAGCTCCCGGCTGCGGGCTGCCCCGCGCGCCGCCGCTGCCCCCGCCCGCGCTCGTGTACACCGGCGACGCGTATGGACCCTGTTGTAAAAATTACTGTTTAGCTTTCATTTTAATTAAGCGACTTCTCAAATGAACGAATTTCGCGCTCCAAGCGTTTCTTTCAAAATTATGTCTTATTTTTGTCTGGAGAAGCGCGAATAGTCCAGCTCTAATATGTTTAATTTATAGTGGTAGTAATTTCCCTCACCTGTGGACTACCACTTGAGCTGGAAAGGTCTATTGCCGGCCTCGGATCCCTCGGATCTCTGGGCGTGGGACTTCGGGGACGTTGGGCCTGCGCAGCTGCGATCTTCACCGACAAATTGATGGCCGAGAAACCTGGTGGAACGCCTGGTCCCATTGCGCTCACACCGGCAACTCCACCACCAGTCTCGTAGTGGTACATTGGTCTAGGAAAACGAATTGATCACATTTCCTGATCTGATCTCGAAACAATCAATGTCCTATGAAGGAAGCGAAGGGGAGTCTCGTTTACCACATAAGTATCTGGCGTAGGCGTTAACTATGACTAAAACTTACCTAGGATAAATAGGTCCAGAACTGGTCTCCTGTTCCGATTGGTCCGTCTTCATGGGCGTGGGTAGGTGTGGATCGTGGTAGCGTTCCTCCTCCCAACCGTACGACCGCTGCGGACACTGAGGGTCGTAGCGTTCGAAGGCAGGCGCTCCTTCGTAGCAACGAGACTCGTACCCATATCGAGTCTCGTTCATTTGACTACGAAACGTTTTTAAATTTCAATATACAGCAGATTTCAAAAAGTACCGTATCTAAATGAGCTATTATTACCTATACGAAGAAAATCTATATTAAAAAATCACTAAATATAAATCAAATAAAACGATACGTAAATATGTATTCTTATTTATATTTGAACTCTAATCGAAATGCGATTATAATTACTGATACTACAAGATTTAAATTAAAATTAAATATTTAATTATTGTTTTTCTTTTGTTTTGATATTGTCATTTTATCTAGCGAAGGTTCTAAATCTTAGTAAAGTAATAGGTAAAACAGAGAATTTCCAAAATTTCTTATTGTTAAAACTAAAGCTAGTCAATAACTTAAAAAAAACAAGTTTGTTCAGACAGTATTATTATTGTTTTCGTGTCATGAAGGTTTCCTTACATTTCAGACAAGATTTGTGAAGTCAGCTTTTGTTTTTCATTTAAAAGATTTTTAAAAATTTTTTTATTGCTTAGATCGGTGGACGAGCTCATAACCCACCTGGTGTTAAGTGGTTACTGGAGCCCATAGACATTTACAACATAAATGTGCCACCCACCTTGAGATATAAGTTCTAAGGTCTCAAGTATAGTTACAACGGTTGCCCCACCTTTCAAACCGAAACGCATTACTGATTCACGGTAGAAATAGTCAGGGCAAAGTAAAGTATCTTATTGTTACATAATGTCGAATATCCTATCGTGTACAAAGTAGTTTTACCTATAGGATCGGACGTGGTCGTCCGGTGGTCGATCGTACGGTGATCGTTGGTCGGGTGGCGCGCCGTAGCCGGCGTGGCGCGTCTCCATCCCTGCGGGGGAGTCGCGCTCTGGCTCGGCGGCCTCTCGCTTCGGCACGAGCAGCTCGGGGGCTTCTCTCTTCACGGGCGGACTAGGCGGCGAGGCCGCTGACTCCCTCTCGTGGGAGACACGCGTCGAGTTTGGGTTCGACCCGTTGTCGCTCGATAGAGACACGGATACCGAAATCGGAGCTGCTGTTATCGATACTATATTAGGAAAAAAGAAAAACTTAAATTCCACAGTAAGTATGATCTTATAAACTGTTATGCTTTGTCTGTAAAAATAAAAAAAGAAGTTCAAAATGACTCACAGTTTGAAAAATACCGATGCACGAGCTAATGTTTAAAGGTCGAATAGAGAGGTACGAAGTTCTATTGTAAACTTACAGGTAGGACGTGTGCGTTGTGTTCTAGCGGCGGCCTTGCGTGCGGCGGCTGTAGGGCAGCCGGAAAGAGACCGATGCGTGCTGCGATTCGAGCTCACGTGTCCTCGACCGTTGCACCCGGGCGTGGGACACTTCAAGATCGTTTCGTGCAGCGCCAAAACTATCCCGGAAAAGAACACGCTCTTACTTTTTTACTATCGACTTGAATGCGGCTTAAAGGTACGCGTCCATTGGCCCGCGCTGGACGCATCGAACGCCGGCATTTATGAGCAAAAAATACAGAGCAAAATAAAATCCGTTGCGTACGGTGGGTCTGGCGCGGGTCAATGGACGTGTAGCATAACTGCAGATTACGATGCTAGCCTTGAGAGCAAACGCGAGTGCTGAGATATGTTGAGGGAGGGTTTAAAAAAAAACTTATTCAAATGTATATTGTCTCCTTGTTCAAAGCTAGAAAGAGACAACTATAGCCTTGACTGGAAATACTAATAAATATAAAAAATCGCATGCCTAGTTGCTCAACAAAATTTGACTGTTTAAAATAAATATTTATTTTTATTTAAGAAAGAAAGATTTTGCCCGTATTTTTAGCTTTTTGCTTTTTTTGCTATACTCATAAAATGTCTTTCCCAGATATCTGAAACGGTGGGTAAAATTTTTACTCATTTTCGTAATATTAAAATGTTTCTCATTTTATAATCACGAATTCATAAAAACAAAATCATAGGTTTTTGGCAGCGGTAGATAACATCGATGGTGTTCAAATATTTGCCAAGACATTATCAAGGAAGGAAGTACACTTAATTATACTAAATAGAATTTACGTTTTCTCTCAGTCATCATTATATTTCTGGGAATAATAGTATACTGTCTTTTACACTGCTAGCTGCTTCAGACACGATCGAAAGAGGCGAAATACGGTGTCATCATCCGAATATTATATGTAAGATTATATAATCAAGCTTATAAATAAAGCTATACGAAAATAAAAATATGCAAATAAATTTTATACCTCAACTGTATTTACACACTTATGAAGAAGCTACATACTACAAACATAACGAACTAAATTAACTGCATCTAACTTTTACTATGTACTTAAGCATTTAAAATAATAATCGTGTAATAAAAATCAAACCCGCAAAATTATAATTTGCGTAATTACTGGTGGTAGGACCTCTTGTGAGTCTGCGCGGGTAGGTACCACCACCCTGCCTATTTATGCCGTGAAGCAGTAATGCGTTTCGGTTTGAGGGTAGGGCAGCCGTTGTAACTATACTGAGATCTTAGAACTTATATCTCAATGTGGGTGGCACATTTACATTGTAGATGTCTATGGGCTCCAGTAACCACTTAACACCAGGTGGGCTGTGAGCTCGTCCACATATCTAAGCAATAAAAAAATAAAAAAAAAATAGGTAAGCTTAACCTTAGTATGGCTAATGGCTAGTATTGATACGAACTGAAAATTCTAAGCTTATCGATTGGTGAACATAAAAAATAGAAAACTGCATTGCAGTGATGCTTTAATTTCATTTCATCATTCTCCTGACCCGAAAACCTAATTCGCTTGAAAACTTAATTTTCCACTTGTAAATTTGTAATTTACTGGATTTATATACAATTTTTATGGGATATTATTATATTTACAAAATTTATTTCGCTAAGCTTACGCTCAACATCCCACAAGCATTGACTTTTGTTTTAAACATTTAACGACACTCTGTGTAGGTACTAGAAATTGTACTGTTGTCGATTTACTAAACTCTAAAATTTGTGACGCCTTAAATACCAAGAATTTTTTTATTACTGTCAATAACAAATGAGCACGTTATCCATTTGATGGTATGTGACTACAGCTGAGCATGGACAACGGCAATACCAGGGATACAGCGATGCCGCTGCTTACTGTAAAGTATTTTTTTATCTAAAAGTTTCTCTGCTCTTGAGTGCAGAACCGATTAAACATTAAGCATCGTTATGAAATATAGTTAGTGTTTATTTATAGGTATTTACAAGATGAAATTATTTTGCGCATTAACCTTTAAAAAAAAAGTTTCGGAAACAAAAAATAAAATTATTAAAAAACAATCTAATCTTATCTAATCTATGCAAAGGAAAACGTATTTATTACGTAAGCACAATCTACGAACGTTTATTTTACGATGATCGCATCAATAAACTACTACTTACTCTCCGGTGTAACTTTATCCTTTCTTGGGCATCCTGACAGACTGATGGAACAAACGATAACAATTGAATTACTGATTTAAATACATAATCCCATCAAATTTTAGTTAGTTTTTTTATTATGATAAACATTTTTAGTTTTAGAGTCATTTCGTAGCTTTCATGTGTAATTGCATAGTTTATTTACAATGCAGATTTTTAAAGTATATTAAATTTCAGGCTTTTCAATAGAGTCGAAATATTAAAACAAATCTGTGCTTAATTAAATGTGGAACGAGAATAAAATTGAGGGTTGACCCATGCAAGGAGAATTGCGAGAATGCGATTGTCATTAGCGAGATTGTTTTGCAATGTGAGCACTTTATATGATTCTTCAACTGTTCATATGATGATAAAAACCGTCAATAGTAATTGTTTTTATACCAAAATATATTCGATAAAGAGGTAGATATAACAAGGTAAAATTTCTTGATATCCTTTCTTGTTCATTCCGGGAATCTCTCATCATGTAAATTATTCTTAAGGGTAAAAGCTTAGTATGAAGTTTTTGAATATATGTTTTGAAAGTCTTACAATGCTTTAGAGCTTGAACTTCAAGTTTTAACCTCAAATATAATCATCCAATCGTTCTATCTGTCGTTTCGATGGTGGTGTTATTAGGGAGACGTTTCATGTTAGGGTATGTTTCAAATTTTCAGGAGTTAGCTGAAGAAATTTGTACTAACCTTCTATGGTGTGTGTATAGGCCGGTGACGTGGCCCTGCCCATTGCAGCCGGGTGTGGGGCACTTGTTGCCTTCTGTGAACAAATCGACCGATGCACAAATTAGTGTTTTCCTAATCAGTGGAATGGGCGTGTGCGTGGATCGATACAGGCGGGCGTGCCACCCGACCGGGGCGTACCTGCGCAGCCCCGCCCCGTGCCCCAGCCCCACCCTATAAATACAACTTCAAAGAAAAAATAAAGAACGCCGAGCGGCTGCGCGCCCACTACGCAATTTTTCTTTCAGGAGTAGCGGGGCGGTACACACGCTCCGCCCACCGCCCGCTCTGACCTCTTTTTATTACTCGACGCTCTGACGTAAAACCAGCTATCACGCAGCAATAAGAAAACGTTAAGGTCCCTTGTATAAAATATACGACCTAACGTAGGTGGAGTCTAAACTTATTCGACTAACGCCGACCACGTACGAGCTTATTTCGTTTTAGGTATTTCTTTTAAATTCTGCTGAAACCATTTTATATTCTATGACAGCGCATGTGACAAAAATATTAAACACTTTCAGTATTCATGGAAGGCATGTATTGGTTTCCAATTTCAAAAATTTTATTGATGTGCCATGATTCGATGAATATCGTTCTGTTGCAGCAACAGTACCCGATATCGTGATTTAACCTTGAAACTAAATAGACTGTATTCGAGCGTTGTAGGCAGGTCGTAAAGAGAGTTTGAGTAGCAAGTTGGGGGACTGCGACTGGTACCTCTGACGACGGGCGGCGAGAGTGCAGTGAGCGGTCGCGAATCTCGTGCCGGCTGCGCGGTTGGAACTGCTCTGGCTTCTTGCAGCGCCGTGGCCGCGCGTGACCCCACTCCTGCCGGCTGTAGCACTGTATACTGTTTCGAAGCACGGTTCACTGAACTCTTGTCGTGATCATTCGAATACCCCCCGAAAGGTTCGCTCGGCAGTGTAGGTCCGTGTAGCCTATGCTTCACTTCAGCGGGAGGCTTGAAAGCCGATTGCGTGGTATATGGCAGTGCAGCCGTCGCCGCTTTGTAAGCGTTGTACAGAGACTGCTTATTGACGGACACAATATCGCCTTTACGTTTAAATTTAAATTCTCTATCGTCGTCGAATTTATCGTCAAATCGATCTGACATATCTATTTCGAGTTCATTGGAAGACGAATCACCGAGCTCGTCGAAATTAGTTCCATCGTAATTAGAATGTCTGCTTTCTTGATCTTCAGTAATCTCTCCGCACGCATTCAATTCAATATTTCCATTGACACCGTTAATGTTATGCTCTTGCTGTTCGTATCGCATAGCAAAACTTTTTTGTGTGGTGTCATTGCTTTCGGAAGACGGTGAGGGCGGGGACGGCAACATATTATTATGTTCTTGCCTTCCGTCAGCAAATAAGTTTTCGAATCCGTTCGCTTCATCGGTCACGTCACCGGTGTGTACAATCGTATGATCACGAGTCCAGCTTCCTGAGAGCGTTTTTAAGGCAGCTTGTGTTTCTTTGATGAGTGTCTCTTCATCCTGGTCAGGTTGCCGAGTGGTGTAAGGTCGGTGCACTGGTAATGGGCGGCGTCGAGGTTCGAGTTCATCCCGTCTCTCATCGTCCAGTAGTCTCCGTCGGCGTTTCCCGATCACGTCTTCGTCCTCCATGGAAGCTTCACTGTTGGTACGCTCTATACGCCTCTCTCCTATTTTGAAAGTTTCTACATCGACACCGAACTCGAGTCGCCTCTTGTTGATTTGCGTGATTCCCGTTTGAGCCGTCAGCGGTGTACTCCTGTAACAAATGACCGCTCTAAGCACAGTTTTCTAAAAAGCTACAAATATATTTCATAACATTACACAACAAGAAAGTAAAGTAAAAACAAATAGTTGTACTTGCGATTCGTTTTTTCATCCACAATCAGAATATTTTTACGCGGAAATGATTCTCGGCGTTTCCATTCGACGTATATCACTTAATAAAACACTTTTTTTTTGTTTTGTTTAAATGCACAAAAATCGTTCCCACGTAAAAACCATTTCACTCAAGAGCTTTCAGACCAAATAGATTGTTTAACAAAATAAATAAAAACGTTTCAATAATCATATTCAATTCGTCATGTTTCTTAGGGTATGGTCAGACTAAGTTAAAAGTTTGTTTTGTCCAATATTTAAATGTAAAATATTTATGGATGTCAACCGTGAAATATTTCCAACAAATCCGCACTAAGTTAAAAACGTTTGNACCATTTCACTCAAGAGCTTTCAGACCAAATAGATTGTTTAACAAAATAAATAAAAACGTTTCAATAATCATATTCAATTCGTCATGTTTCTTAGGGTATGGTCAGACTAAGTTAAAAGTTTGTTTTGTCCAATATTTAAATGTAAAATATTTATGGATGTCAACCGTGAAATATTTCCAACAAATCCGCACTAAGTTAAAAACGTTTGCATCGGTCATAGTAATTAAAAGTGAGACGCACCACGCATACCGAAATTCCATACGCTCTGATATACATTTGATGTTAAGAGAAGAATGCAAAAGTTTTCTTAAAACTTTTATTCATACTTCACAAGTTTTTGGGGATTGTCAAAGTTTTGACATTCGTTCTTCTAAGTCACCGATTGCTTTAAGAAGGTCATGGATTCTCGAGTTTTTAATATAAGTTAATTTTGCTCCGCCAAAAGAAGAAATCTTTTTTTTTCCTACCTATGCTGATAGCCTTGGGAGGCTATATCAGCTTCGCCCTAACGTGTGGGTGAGCTCACGGGGCTTAAACCGGAGTGTTGCTAACACTGGCCCTAGCAAAGAAGAAAAAATTACGACGTTATTGAACCGCGAAACGTTCTGAACTTGTACAATATGCGTTCTACTCGACTCGAGATAGTTATCGATGGTCCTCGAAGTAAGTACCTCCGGGGAGCCACCGGAAGGCCGCGTACCAATACGCCCTACAAACATTTACGTACGTGACTTAGACGCTACCCCAACACAAACGAAGAACGTTTTCGTACGCTGAATATGAGCCGTAACGCAAATTCACGTTCGGGTATTCGCTTAGGGTAATTAGATAAACCCTGAGGGTAGATGCTTAACCGGTTTAAACTAGTGCTCGTACGGACCTTTGTCAGCGGGTGGCGACTGCCGGGTTATCTTTGGGGCTACGTTAATTGTAATGCTGGTAGATTAGGGTGCGTTATAAGAATATTTAAATGAATAAGTCGATAGAAGGTTTCTAACGAGTAAAAACTATTATCGTGTAGCAAATAAATAAGAGATTTCCGTGATAGCGAAATTAATTTAGTATTCGAAATGACGCATTAGAACATTACCAGAAAACGTGAGAGTCAACTGTAAAGTAGTATTTTAATCATATTCTCAACAGACGTAAAGAAATATAAATTAATAAACTGAATAAACTATGTGGTAATTTGATTTACTAATCAAAAAATTAATTTTATTATTCCCGATATTTGACTTGAATTTCTTTAAAAAAATTTATCAAAACTCAACTTTAGTTTTATCAAACAATTCCTGCACTTTACGATTCAGAATGCAAAATAAGTAATCTTGTTAAATATAATGACCGAATCTTCCAAATAATGCAATTAAATAGTACAGTGAGTTAATGTTCTGAGCATGCAAACATTTGTATAATACGCTATAATACCCCGAAAATCTTATAACGATTCCTTAGAAAGGTAAGACATCGGACCCTTTCTCGGTTGAGGGTAATAAGAAACACGCGTCGCCCCCGCGGGCCCCGCAGACGTCGCGGCTCCAAAATTCAAATTGCACCTTAGAATTCTTAATTATTGAAATCATAAATCAAAACGTGCCGTCTGGGCGGGCGACCATAAAATTGCGCGAGGCTACGAACGAGCGAACTCGAGTGTGGTAGGATTAAGACATTATCACTTTTCTTTCAAGCAGTCGCGCCCTCTCCGGGCTCGGCTCGACTGTAAATCAGTAGCTAAATCCTCTGGATTAGATTCATAGAGTTGCCGCGCGGCCTGAGGATCGGCAACCGGTGATAATGGCGTCGTGTGCTCGCGTGATTTTGCTTTTAAATCGACTCCCGGGAAAGATAAATACTCTTCCAATTTGGCCCCGATCCCGGAGCGAGTTCGCAGTTTAAATAGCTTTACGGGAACTTGATAAGAATTTATAGCTTTTAACGACCGAGCCTCATTTATAATTATAATCGAACGCCGATTAACAAAAATGATAACATTAAACGATATTGATTCTGTAGAAATTCTTCGAAGTGCTAGACTTCGATTACGTTTTGACGTGTTTATTAAGAACAAGCGGCTCGCTCCGGCTTCGCTCGGGTCTCTAACAAACATTTCAACGATATTTGCCGTTGTTTTATTATTTTAAATAAAAGAACACTTATTGCGGCATAACTATAATAGTTAGACATATGCTGTCGTGACACTTTTTGTAAATAATCATGTGTTCTACAAAGTCGTAGTACATTATTTTATTCTATCATCAATAGTTTTCGCAGGGCGCGCGATGTAAAAAATATTTTAGGTAATTTTTTTACACCTTGGGTTACATTGTTGGAGATTTAGTAAAGATTCCTCATTTTTTTCAAAAAAGATTATAGCCTGTGTCACTCGGGAATAGTGTAGCTTCCAAACAGTGAAAGAATTTTTCAAATCGGTTCAGTAGTTTCAGAGCCTATTCAATACAAACAAACAAATCTTTCCTCTTTATAATATTCGTATAGAAGTATAGATATATGTATGTGTCAAGGTTAGGTGATGATAATATTTATGCGTTACTGGTATCAGTTAATATGAGACTTAACAGCCCATATGCGAAAATTCAACAAGGTAATAAATACAAAAAGAGGTAATATATAAATATTTTAAAATTTTCGAATATCTTTTATTGTGGTTATATAGAAAATATCACGGCCCGCTCGATATCAATTGGTTATTGTATTATATTATCTCTAATCCACTATAAAACTAGAACGTATGACTGTACTTGTTGGCGAGGGCTCGGGTAATACAGCATTCATTGATTTTATACTAATTATATTTTATATTGATGATTCATAGATGTTTTCAATTCTCTTATGTATTGTTGTTCATTGTCGTAATTTGATGAGTATCACGACATTTTTATCTGTTTATTTGTTTTTAATTGTTACTGTTAATTTTATTTTTATTTTTATCTGTTTAATTTTTATTTGTTTTTATCTGTATCGAAGAACTAAATAATTGAAATGAAATAAATGATGAATACGGACTTGGGAACTTGTCAAATATTATATTTAGGAGCTAATAACTTTAGTCGACGATCTTTAAAGCTTTCAAGATTAATTTATGAGTGGCTATAAATATATTTGTTGTTGTTGTGTGTGNAATTTTATTTTTATTTTTATCTGTTTAATTTTTATTTGTTTTTATCTGTATCGAAGAACTAAATAATTGAAATGAAATAAATGATGAATACGGACTTGGGAACTTGTCAAATATTATATTTAGGAGCTAATAACTTTAGTCGACGATCTTTAAAGCTTTCAAGATTAATTTATGAGTGGCTATAAATATATTTGTTGTTGTTGTGTGTGTCGCATACACATGTCACGTACCTATTTGCTACTGAGCCAAACTTTCTTCGACCGATTGATATCTTGGGCCAGAAAGACCAAATACTACGGAATCATCCTGAATAAATTCGGAATTTTCTGACTTCATACGAAGCATCACGTCTTATTTATCGTCAGCATGCCTATGCATATGATCTGCAAGCGAAACAAACTATCGCTTCGTATTCAAGTATTACTTTATGAGAATAGCGTCCATCTGTTCATTATTTATGTGAGATTAGTATTTGCTAGTGTGACCCGTACGTACAAGCTCTTCAATCTTGGTTCCTTAGGTTAGCCGTCGGAACACCATGGTACACGATCAACGTATGTAAATCTTTACGAGCTAGATTTCGAATCTATCCGTAAGTACAAATAGACAGTGTCAAAAACTGTCACGGTACCGATGTGACATTAGAACTACCTTCATTTAATTGGATTCTTGATCCGGTTAAAACTTTAAAAAAAGAACAACGGTCAACCACCATTGACGGTCCTAGAGACGTCCTGGTGGCTTCGCTCTATCTACTCGTATTCTCGATTCTGTTAGATTCCATTAGATATAAACGCCGATATCAGTCTAAGTACAGGTTATCGTATTCTTCGAAGAGTTCGATGTGACATTTAATCCATAGCATCACCCTGCTAGGTTCCTTGTCGGATCTTCCAATCCAGCGGTTGATTCGTGGCATTAGGGCAGTTGTTAACCCTCCTTCTTTATCCCCCTACCCATGCTCCTTACTGGAAAGGCCTCTGGGCTATAAGCAATTTCACCATCCCAAAAAAAAAATCTAGTCTAAAAGGTTGATAGAGGTATGCCTAGGTTGTTCAGGATACTGTCATTTGTGACCCGTACAATACTGTTAGTAGATAAATAAGTGTGTAAAGAAAATACAATAGTAGAATATAAAAAAATAACATCTTCCAGACCGTTGTAATGTTCAAGAGAATCGTGAAAGAATGGAGGTAAGTTGCAGTACCTATCATTAATAAATTATCATTGAATGTTGTTTGTTAGTGAGCACTTTAGAACAAATTGGGCATTTTTTATTCTTAATGGCTCGAATTAGGTTCTACAATTTGAAAAGTTGCTTAAATATCTTGAAGATTGAGAGATTAAAAGAATGGCTGGGTGCTATTATCCCGTTTGTTGCAGCCGCGAAGAAATCACAATATTGGCTAGAAGACTAGGACGCCATTGTATCAATTGACTTCAATATATCTTTTTAAGGTAGCAAGTGTTGCCATATCCCATCTTCGCTAATTTCTTGACACTAAGCGGACTGATATTAAACTAGTCTATCTATAGCTAATAACCAAAATATGAAAGAATTACGGACTTTATGTTTATACTGTTTTACCTATTTCAACTAACATACACACATAGGCTAGAAAGTTTTAGCCTAAGATGCATTTTTTTATTGCTTAGATGGGTGGACAAGTTCACAGCCCGCCTGGTTGTTAAGTGGTTACTGGAGCCCATAAATATCTACAACGTAAATGCCGCCGCCCACCTTGAGATATGAGTTCTAAGGTCTCAGTATAGTTACAACGGCTGCCCCATCTTTCAAACCGAAACGCATTACTGCTTCACGGCAGAAATAGGTAGGGTGGTGGTACGTACTCGTGCGGACTTACAAGATGTCCCACCAAGTGATCACACCGCATCGGAAGTTCTATAATAATAGCGATCGCACATATCGATTTACAGTATGGATACGTATCTGATACGTCATCACATTCCACGGTCCTGTCATAGATACCCAGCGAAACATAGTCGAAACGCATTCTCTTTTCAAGACCTAGAAAGACAATCGGAAAAGTGTAGTTGAGTTCCTTCAATGTTAGGGCTTTCGGAAAGAAACCCGGATGAGAGCGTAATATAATGTCTCTGGAGCCATTGGCTAAATTTGCGGTAGGCAGCGGCTTGGCTCTGCCCCTGGCATTGCTGAAGTCCATGGGCGACGGTAACCACTCACCATCAGGTGGGCCGTATGCCCGTCTGCCTACAAAGGCAATTAAAAAAAAAATCTAGTTCAATACTGAATAGTAATTAACTTACAGTAATTATAGAATTTAGAGGCACAAAATCTGAATTGACATGATTTCAACTTTTCATACTGCGCTATTCTAGTTCTACCTAATTTTAAAATACTTTTATAGATCCATGGGAGTAAAGTAAGTGTTTGATACAATTACACACGATTCCGTATAATGTTGTTTTAGGCAAAAAATATATCAGGTTGGATGCTTCTGGTGTCGAGAAGTAAATGAACGGCCGAAGATAGTCGCCATAGCCGATCTATACTATATAGTACTATACTACTATATAGTCACATTATAATATTATGCCTAGCGGCTTATACGAGCAGGGACGATGAATAAATTCGCATTATCGGTTCAGTGGATTATTACCCAAACTACTGTCTGCAGGATTTAGATTTGATTCCTGGTTACAGTCACGTTCTTTACCATATATATTTGGCATTTGGATCTGGGTTCTTATTTCGTGACGTCATAGAATATGGCAATCTTGCATTTTGTGATTTGAACGTTGTGGAGGTATTTACAGTATATCCAAACACAAATTTCACTCTGAAGCTATTGCGCGCGAGAACAAAAGTTTGAGTATAAATAAATTAGATAAAAGTTTTATAAGATTAATAATTTTTTACTGGTGGTAGGACCTCTTGTGAGTCCGCGCGGGTGGGTTCCACCACCCTGCCTATTTCTGCCGTGAAGCAGTAATGCGTTTCGGTTTGAAGGGTGGGGCAGCCGTCGTAACTATACTTAAGACCTTAGAACATATCTCAAGGTGGGTGGCACTTTTACGTTGTGGATGTCTATGGGCTCCAGTAACCACTTAACACCAGGTGGGCTGTGAGCACGTCCACCCATCTAAGCAATAAAAAAAAAATATTGTAAGACCACTAATTATTTGCTGGGCCCTAAATATTATGAAACAACTTTTTTATAAGATTCAATACGAACTACTATGTTTATTTCGATATATAAAATACAGTATGAGATGAAATGTTCAAACATTCATTGTAGATTCATGTAATGAAAAATAAATTATTTTATTTAGATTTTACAATACGGTATTTGATTATTTATTGCCCAGTCACGGTAGGTATGTGATAAGGTTTAATATACCTACTTAATTCATTTATACAAAAATATTATTGAATGAGGTGGCATCGGAACATTAATGTACAATAGTTGACGCATTAGTCGTTTCTACGAATAGTCACAAGAAGGATATTCATTTTCGAATTTATTACAGAATCCGTTGAGCCCTTGACATTTAAAACAAGTATCGATTTTACAATGAGACCATGTGATTGCAAAAATCAATATCAAAATAGTTGAACGGGGTTTAAATAAGTGGGGTAATGTTACTACCCCGTGCATTGTGAATTCGGCTCAGACTGCCGTACCCTCGAGTTAAACATTAGGGTTGTCGAACACGAATAACATCGGAACAGCAGGAAGTGTATATTTCCTTTTATTGTTACCATAAACTTTAAGTTA